CGCTTCCTCGCAACCCAGCGGCCGTGAGGAGGTGGGGACGGAGGGCACCGCGCTCCCACTGGGTCTTCACGTTCCCCTCTGCTTTCCTCTCCTCAGGCAAACAACATGGTGATCCAAACCGCCTGCAGGCACTTCCGTGGAAGCCAGGCCAGGCCGGGGGACAGCCGGGGAGCGCCACACATCGTGACATCGAGCGTGGAGCACGACTCCGTCCGCCTGCCGCTGGAGCAGCTGGTGAAGGAGAAACTGGCGGGTGGGACCGCAGGGGACACGTTGGGGATGTCTGGCCGCAGACGGGGGTTTGCAAGGGGGGCTTCTCTCCACTGGCCTTTTTGCGGAGGAAGACGGGGACCCGCTTACTCCGTGGTGTTCCCCTTTCCCCCCCCCCAAAGAGCACTGACTCCCCACATGGTGCCCTCAGTCCCTCAAGCTGGGTGCGTTACCCCGTTGGCATCCAACGCCAGCCCCAAGAGCCCCTGTGCTCTCTGCCTGCGTGCCAGCTGCCTGCGCAGCTCTCCTGCCCGCTCAGCGGGGTGTGGGCAGCCCTGGGCACCGTTGGGCTTCCCAGCAAACCTCAGGGCTTGTTTCTCGGCTCGCAGAAGCCACCTTTGTGGCTGTGTCCCCGCAAAGCGGGCGGGCTGAGGTGGACGATGTCCTCGCTGCCATCCGACCAACCACCTGCCTGGTTTCCATCATGTTGGCCAATAACGAGACTGGGGTCATCATGGTGAGTCTGTGTGATGGTAGGGGGACAAGTGGGACAGGGTAGGGACAAGCAAAAAAGGTGTTTGATAAGGGGGAGCAGACGGTCCCTGGGACGCAGACCCTCTTCCTGCCCGCCAGCCTGTAACAGAGCTGAGCCAGCGCGTCCGTGCCCTCAATCAGCGGAGAGTGGCGGAGGGGCTGCCCAGGATCCTGGTGCACACAGATGCGGCACAAATGATTGGCAAGGGGCGCGTGGATGTGCAGGAGCTGGGGGTGGACTACCTCACCATCGTGGGACACAAGGTATGGCCCTGTTCACGTGGCCCAGCCGCTGTTCACTCTCTAAGACATCTCTGTTGGGGTGCCAGGGAGACTTTTGGGTTACGGGAAAGGGGAGCCTGGTGGTGTGTCCACAGGGTCACCGTGGCTTTTTCTCCCCGCAGTTCTACGGCCCACGGATTGGTGCGCTGTACGTGCGCGGCCCCGGCACCACCACCCCGCTGCACCCCATGCTCTTTGGAGGGGGACAGGAGAGGAATTTCCGGCCGGGGTAAGGTGGCTGGGTGGTGGCCTAGAGACCTGCCTGGGGCTGGTTGCCAAACGGCGTGTGGCTACTCAGCCTGAGCGGAGCTGGCAGCTCTGTCACCTGCCGGCCCTGGGGCAGGCAGCCCAGCGGGGGGAGATGGATTCCTGTGCGGGAGCTGCAGGAGCCTGGTGTGCAGGCTTTGTGGCAGGAGGAGCCACAGGGTGGAACTGTTCCCCAGCCACCTCAGAGAGGGGTCCATGACTCCCTGCCAGCGGTAGGGGGGGTCCCAAAGTTGGGTTTCTGGTCCGGAGAAATGATAACGCACTGCTCCCTCTTCCCTTCCAGCACCGAGAACACCCCAATGATCGCTGGCCTCGGCCAGGTGAGTCAGTGATGGTCATGGGTGTGAGAGGTTCCCTGGGGGTGCTACCTGGCAGAGCCAGCACGGGGACGGCCACCTGCATTCCCCATTCATTAGAAGTGACAAACCTGGGGTGCAGGAGGGCGGGCAAAATCCAGGGAAAGGAGACGGGGCTTTCTGGCACCAAAGGAGGTGCTTTGGAGCACTCGCTGCAGGCTTTGCAGCCGTGGCAGCGGGCAGGACGCAGCTCACATGGCGCAAGGCACCGAGAGCCTGTCGGGGCCGGTGGGGACCTGGCAATTGCAGAGGCTGTTCC